TGGTTTGTTCTTTGTGGCTGCAAAAGCCCAAACCCAAATGCTCATTAGTTTGCCTCACTTTAGAAAGCACCCGAGTATGGAAGCACAGGTGTTCAGGTCATGAATGCTGGAGCTGGTTTCCCAAACTGATGAGGTGTTAAACCAGTATAACTGTATTTAAGCAGTTTATAAAGCAGCTCTGGAGGGAGTTTTCAGGTGGAGCTTTCTGGGGAGCCCGTGCCAGCAGGTTCATTTTTCACATGGTCCTTTTTGTTTTCTTCTTTGTCCTCACTCTTTGGCATAACCCTGAGCAAGAATCCAACACTACCAACATTGAGCAGAGAGGCCAGCTTGGACAGTCACCCCAAACCAGGATGGGTGGGCAACGTGTTGTGTGTTGCTGCAGGGAATCAAAAATTTAAACCTTAAAAAAACCTTAAAAAAAACCCTAAACAAAGATAAACCTTAAACAAAGCTGCCCGGGCGAGAGCGGCTCAGCCACTTTCTGCAGCCTGGTTCTTGCTCAGGGTTGTTGCCCACGAGTGAGCAGAAGCTGAACCAGCAGAACTCCAAGCACAGAGAAACCCATCTTGATTTTTTGTTCTTGCCTTCTCCCTGGCTCCAGGCTTGAACGAGGAGCTGGTGCAGCTGCTGCTCATCCGGGACGAGCTGCACACGGAGCAGGATGCCATGCTGGTGGACATCGAGGACCTGACCAGGTGAGGGAGGCTCCGTGGGGTATTTCTCCCTCCTCACATGTCCCATCTCCCCATCAGCAGCACGTAGGGCTTTTCTTTGAGCAGAATTTCAGTACTGAAGCTTTTGCCATCCAGGGTAAGGGCTGAGCAGAGCACTGCTCTCTCCTCTAAAATAAGAAACCAAGGCGCTCGGGTTCTGGGAACTCTTGGGGAGCTTTCCAGAGCTCCCCACATGCAGGTGTTGGTGCCCTGCTCTTGAGCTGCTGTTCCCAAAGCCTGAAAAAAAGCCTGGGAAGGATGTCCCAGGACCCAATCTGCTTCCATCATCAGGAGAACTTGACTGACAGGAGGAATTTTGAGTCTCTTAAATATTAATGGTGTTGAGCAGCCGATAGAGCAGAAGGCCTTGCAGAGTACAGGTGGGTTTCCTGAAGGGCTCCACCTCCTGGACATCAAGGCTTAAGAGGCATTTTCCTTTGGCATAACAAGCCATGTGCTGCAGAAACATTTAGAGGCATTGACATCTTTGCAGAAAAGAAGCTGGAAGAGGTGATTCTGGTTGTTGTCAGCACAGGGGGCCTGTGGTTTCAGAGCAGAAGCATGAAGCTTGCAAATAACAGGGCCTGCCTTTGTTTCTGGTTTAAAACACGGTGGTGCTGCATGGCAGCTGGTTCAGGTTGGATGGAGCTCTGCCTGGAGAAGCTTTTCACCAGCTGGGGTGGCTGTGAGGGATTTGGGGAGCAGTTCTGATGCTGCTCACAGGGACAGGCAGGCAGGTTGTCACTTCTGAGTCTTGTGAGACACAGTCACTGCTTCTGAAGAGCAAGTGAGCATAGAATCATCACATCCCAGACTGGTTTGGGTTGGAAGGGACTTTAAGATCATCTCTTTCCAAATCCCCTGCACGGGCAGGGACACCTGCCACTAGACCAGGTTCCTCAAAGCCCCATCCAGCCTGGCCTTGAAGACTTCCAGGGAGGGGAAGGGGCACCCATAACTTACCTGGGCAACCTGCTCCACTGTCTCACCACTCTCAAAGTAAATAATTTCTTCTTAATATAAAACCTAAATCTCCCCTCTTCCAGTTTTAAACCATTTGCTTCCTAGAATGTCAGTTTAGTGACTGGAATGTATTTGGAAGCTGGGCAGGGTGTTGGGAACTTTGGCATGTGCTGGGGGCACCGGCTCTTCCCATCCTGGCGTGGTTTGTGGGCGAACGTCTGGGGCTGCTGGCCCAGCCCTGCCTGGGGGTTTGGGTTCCCTCTTCCCTTCATCCTGGCCAGTAACACCACCTCTCCCCCCTTCCAGACACGCCGAGAGCCAGCAGAAGCACATGGCAGAGAAGATGCCAGCAAAATGAGCCCTGGAGCAGAGCTGGAGCAAGTCTTCATTTTGCTTCCGTGTGTGTCCATGCGCTGACGTCCCCGCTGGCCCAGGAGAACAAACCAGTGTTAGTCATTGACCATGTCTGAAGCTTTATGTCCAGTGATTGGCCTCTGCTTCTTAATTTATTTTAATTTTTTTACTCGTGCCACTAAATATCAGGCATTTTAATAATATTATTACAGAAAATGTACAGTACTGAAAACATTATAAATCGTGGGTGAGAAGAGAGGGCAGTTTAACTTTATTTTTGTTTGTTTAGAGATTTTCAGTTGGATGATATTTTACCATTGACTACTTTTTTATTCCTCACTGTAGTTTTCAGATAAAGAAACTGTACTTGACGGTGCTATACAAGTCAAACAAAAATACATGCCTGCCTCGTAGTGAAGTTGTAGCTTTCAGTAATATGTCTATTTTAATCAGTTCTCAACATTTTGTGAATGTTGACTACCTGACATTCATTTTTAGATGTGCTATTAACATTCGGTTGGAGCCAGAGAGTTACCTTGAAAGTTTTATGTATAAATATGTAAAATAAAAATGTAAAACATTGTTTCATATGAGAATGTCTTTTTGTTGCCTAGTGGTGGACTTTGGTGATGCACCAGGGCCACAGTCCTCAAACTAAAATGTGCAATTTCTAATTTGTCATCACCAGGAAGAGCCTTTTGGTTTTTTCCTTTGCCCATCACATGAACTGATGGAGAAAAAAAACAGGATTTTTTTGTGGAGATCTTTCTTTGTCAGTTCATGATGTGTGTATGACATGGACCTGAGAGATTCTTCTGTAACATTCACTGGGCCCTAAGATGGTGACTCCTGTTAGACTCAGCAGGCACCACCATAGGTGGGGGTTGGTTGGGTTTTTTTAATGTATTTTATTGTCTGGGATAAATATTTAAATGACTTAGCAGTGTCAGAAGTAAAAAATAATATGTTAAAAAAAATAATATGTAAAAAAAAAAATTAAAACAAAATCTCAGCAGCCTTTTAAATGTATTCTCTACAGTAACTACCCACCTTTGCCTTTGGGCTGTTGTCACCAGCTGGATGTGTCCTCTGTGTGTGCCCAAGGAGGGGAACACCCCAAGACAACTTGATGTGTCTCCATCCCATGGTTATTGGGGGTCCTGCAGGGGCAGCTGGACCCTCCCCTGCCCCAGCAGGCATTGTCCCTCACCCACCAGCTTTTTATAGTCCAGTTTTAGTCTTGGGGGGAGGACAAATCCCTCTTAGCAGAGGGGCTGGTAATGACACGTGCAGGGTGATTTCAGAAAGGCTTGAGCTGCCTACAGATTTCCTCCCCAGCTGAGGATGTTGCTCCACAGGGTTTCCCATGGACAATCCCTGTCACACAGCTCCAGGATGGGCCATGTCCTGTGTCCCTGCCAGACAGTGTCCCCAGGCAGGGACCAGTGCCTGCCCTGGGGGAGAGATTTGCAGAAAGATGCTGGGAGGGGTTAGGCTGGAGAACCCTCACCAGGGACAATGTCAACTCCCATTATGCTTTTTTCTATGCAGATAAAGAAATACATATTGGGGTGTTGATGTCCCTGTAGCCCATGGGTGGCTGGATGCTGATCCCTGCACGTGGGGAGACCTGCTGGGGTTGTATTTTTGCTCTGTAACTTAACCATGTTAGCAGTGCCTGGCCCTGCAGGTCCCTCCAGCAGCAGAGGTTAGTTGGGCAGCAGTCAGGAGGTGTCAGCTGCTGGGTTTAAATAAGTTCCCTGGATGGACCCTGCAACCTCCACAGTCACCCCAGCATCATCCCTGGCCTCTTCCCAGCTTGTGGGGCAGTGAATGAGCAGGCTGGCCAGGCTGGGGTGTTGTTCCCCTCAGAAGTGCCTTGACCTTGCTGACGAGAACTAGAGCAAGGTGGTTATTCTAGTTACTTACCCCTGGTTTCTTCATTCTTAGGGGGGTTAAAAAAAAATAAAAATCCAAGTATTTCTGGGTAACTGCATCTCCTTGGCTCTGTGTCCCCTGTCCCAAGGTGCTGTGCTGGTGTGTATGATGGCAATGCTCTGGATTTAACAGATTAAATGACATTTTTAAGAAGAGAAAGACACTGTGTGGTTTCTGAGCTGCTGCAGCAGCTGTGGCTATATGGATTTATTCTTTTCTTTTGGTCACCTATTTCTTGCTTCAAGTGTCCTTTATCCTAAACCATAAGTTCTCAGTTCCTCCTCCCCTTTTCCCCACCAAACACACACACCACCTCTTGCGAGATGCTGAACTTGGCAGGGTGTTCCTTCTGCACCCAGCCCACAGCTCACTGAGCACGAGAGGAAAAGTACCTCCCCAGGCTAGAAGTCACCAAAAATACCTGGTGCAGGCAGCAAAAACACCTTCCACCACACACACACGAGGTGACAGGGACGGGGTGTCCCATGAGCTCTCCCCATCTCCCAGCCTG